TAAAGAAAAGAGTCCTGAGCCCTGGAGCACTCTAATATTTAGAGGTCAAGGAGATAAAGAGAAACCATCAAAGGAAAATGAGGAAAAATTTGATAAAGTAGAAGAAAAACCAACAGAAAGTGGTGTACTGGAGGTTGAGTGAAGAAAATGTTTCCAGAAGGATGGAATGATTAATTTGTCAAACAAGAAGAGAACAGAAAATTGACTCTTAGATAAGGAAATGTGGAGATCTCTGGTGGTTTTGCCAAGATCAGTTTCTACAGCAAGGGAGAGAGGAAAGAAGAAGAGGAGAAGACAAAGAGATGGCAAGTGTAGACAGCTATTTGAAGGAGTTTTGCTATAAAGGAAAGCCAAACAATGCAGTGGTGGGTGAAGGGGGACATGGGTTGAGGGAGTCATTACTACATATAACAAGTAAATATATACATGGGAAACTTGTATTTAAACATAGAGTTTGAATTTACTTTGATTGACAATGAAGTCTAAAATTTCATATAGTGAAAAGTCTTCAATAGGCTTGATAATCTTAGCAAGAGGATTTATATTTGAAGAAGACTTAGTTAAATATGAGTTGGTCTACAGAAGATGTGTAATTTTAAAGGTTGTTTCTTTGGTTTAATTTGGATTTGCAATTTCAGTTAACCCTTTCCAATAAGAGTCCTCCAAATGAATATTTACTTAGCAGTGATAGAAAACTTTATATTTACAGAGTACTTATCAGTTTCTGTATCAGAACAAACACCAAAGAATGAAAATGTCGTTAGCAGTGTAGGAGGGAATTAAACCAAAGTGGTCCCAAATCGGGGAAACTGAGTCTCAGGGCATATGTGGGATCTGAAGGTGAGACTCACCAGCAACCCTCCACTGGTACTAATCTTCAACCTCTCGGGCTGCCTGACTCTGTTTTCCTTTCTCTTCATTGTTTTTTTAATTGCTTTCTTCATTGAAACATCTATTTTGAACTGCTTCCAGCTTTCCAGCTATTGGGTAGCAGAGTCATTTCTATCAAAAGGATTTTATTGGTTCTCCAGGGTTCCTGGCTTTCTAGAACCTATTGCTTGTGCTCTGTTTCACCAATTCTTTTTTCCTTTTCCCACTGAGAAATCCAGTGAGGTTACATTTCCCCACTTTCCTTAAAGTTGGTGGCCAGAGGCAGTGGCCAGAGGAGCGAGGGAGGAAGTCATCTCTATCCCACTTCTAACTTGTGGCTTGGCCACAGGGAAAACCTGTACACACTCCTCCATGCTCCCTCTCTCTGTTTGTCTGCCAGAAAAGGAAGATGCTTAGGATGAGTGTGGGTATTGAATGATTGTGGTGCAGAACACCAGCCCTGAACAGCATTGCACAGGGGCACCAGCAAGAGATGAACTTTCGTTATGTGGAAACTCTGATACTTTAGAGTCGTTTATTATAGCCATGAGCCTGTTCTGGTTATTATGTACTCCTTTGGATGAGATGCAGTGAGTTTTGGCTTTGCATTTAGACTTATAAAGTCCCGAAATTAGGGGTGCCTGGGTGGCTCGGTGTTTTGTTCTTGTTGCTGCCTGTTGTCATAGTTGTTTGTTTACTTAGTGACTTTTCTGAACTCATTCACTGAAGTCCTTAAATATTTTATTTATTGATTTGGGAGACTAAGAGAGAGCATGAGTAGGGGGAGGAGGGGCAGAGGCAGAGGGAGAAGCAGGCTCCTGGCTGAGCAGGGAGCTCCATGCAGGGCTCCATCCCAGGACCCTGAGATCATGACCTGAGCTGAAGGCAGAGGCTTAACTGACTGAGCCACCCAGGCGTCCCATCTCTGAAGTCTTGATTGTTGTAGTCGCTGAAGTCACTGCTTGGTTAGCTCAAGGATCAGTTAGCAGTGGGACAGAGCCTTACATAAACACCTGGATCAAATGTCTCCTGGTCTTTGCAAGGGCCTGTGTACGGTGTAATCACCCACGTAATTTATAGTTCTGCTTTTAGCCTCATTAGCTACTTGGGCAAACCCAGAGGTCAATCAGAGGTGAGAGTTTAAGACATTTTCAGGTGTGTTTTTGAACTTATGCATGGTCCTATGAATGTGCATGGTGGTCTAGATTCCCAGAAATATACCTGAGATTTTCAAAACCCCTTATGGGTGTCTCATTCCTCTGTCTTTCCTTTAAAGATTTTTGGTGAGTTTATTATTTGTCCTACCTATTATCCATTGCTTCAGGCCATTGTCCTGGTAAAACATTCAAAAATATCCCCCTGGCCCAGAAACATTTAGCACTGGGTACATTTGAATGAGGTGGAGTAAGACTAGCCTTTTGAGCATTCTTCTAGGGAACCACTAGATAGGTTGAATGATGGTTTCTCTTTGGGACTGAGGTTTTGAAAGAGATCCAGCCCCATTTGCCTCCCTCCAGTCCCAAGAATGTGGGCTGTTACCTTTCAGCTTCTGCCAAGCTGGAAAGTGGGAAGTGGGACTAGGGTAAATGAAAAGGCCACAATGTTTGTTGCCCTTCCTGACATCCAGATATTCTCTTGCTTAAATTCTCCCCAGGTTGCTGTAAGCCTTCGGCTGATACTGAGTTTTGAAAAAGTTGATTAGTTGATTCTTTTTCTTTTTTGGCCAGTTTTTTCTTTGCTTTTATGGAGGGGTGAACTCTCAGAGGTCCTCCTGCTATTTCTCTCCCTTAATTAATTTTCACACTTAAGAGTGTTTCTAAAATTTGGGAGGGGGTGTTCCATAAGTTGGTTTTAAAGTTCACATGAAGAAATAAATAAGGATAAATTGAAAATCCTCAAAAACAGTAATAATGTAAGAATGCCTTACCCACCCACCCACCCCATGCCTGGCTGGTTCAGTCAGTAGAGTCTACAAATCTTGATCTTGGGGTTGTGAGTTTTAGCCCCATGTTGGGAATAGAGTTTACTTTGAAAATAGTAATCCCACCTAGCTTTTTTTTTTTTTTTTTTTAAAGATTTTATTTATTTACTTATCTGACAGAGTTAGAGAGAGAGCACAGTAGGCAGGACTGCAGGGAGAGGGAGAAGCAGGCTCCTCATGGAGCAAGGAGTCTGATGCAGGAGCTTGATCCCAGGACCCTGGGATTATGACCTGAGCAGAAGGCAGATGCTTAACTGATTGAGCCACCCAGGTGCCCCTGCCCCACCTGGTATTAAGACATATATTAAAAGTACAATTATTAAGACAGTGTAGTAGTGACAGTAAATAGATCAATGGGACAGAATCAAGAGTCCAGAAAAAGAACCAATTTTTATAATTTAGTACATAATACCCACGGAAGTGCATGTCAGTGAAAGAAGACAGTTTAGTAAATTTACAAGCATTAGGAAAAATATTACATTGGATTCTTTTTTTTTTTTTTTTTTAAAGATCTTATTTATTTATTTGACAGAGAGATCACAAGTAAGCAGAGAGGCAGGCAGAGAGCGGGGGTGGGGGGGAGGGGAGCAGGCTCTCTGCTGAGCAGAGAGCCTGATGCAGGGCTCAACCCCAGGACCCTGGGATCATGACCTGAGCTGAAGGCAGAGGCTTAAACCACTGAGCCACCCAGGCGCCCCTTATGTTGGATTCTTATCTAACTTCTTATAACAAAAGAAATTCCAGATGTATTGAGTTTAAACATAAAATATACAATCATTAAGTAATGGGAAAATAGCTCTGAGAGGTTACAAGACTTTGGAACCAACCTAAATATCCATCAAAGTAAAATAGATAAACATATGTGGTATATTCATACCTGATGGTAATATAAAACAATGAAAATACATGAACTATTGCTTATATACAAAAGCATGCTTGAATCTGAGAAATATGATGAGTTAAAGAAATAAGACATTAAGGGATACTCTAAGAATCATAGAATATCACTCCATTTGTATGGAATTAAAAATGAACAAAATAAACTATTTTTTTTTTAATTTATTTACAGACAGATCACAAGTAGGCAGAGAGGCAGGCAGAGAGAGACAGGAGGAGGCAGGCTCCCCGCTGAGCAGAGAGCCCGATGCAGGACTCGATCCCAGGACCTCGAGATCATGACCTGAGCCGAAGGAAGAGGCTTTAACCACTGAGCCACCCAGGTGCCCCCAAAATAAACTATTTTTTTAAAGCATGCATCCAAATGTGGCAAAATTGTAAAGAAGTAAAAAGAAGTGGTTATTATAAAAAATCAGGTTGGTGGTTACCTCTGGGCGAATAGAGAGAGAATATATGGTGAAGAGAGAAGACTCTGATGGTGAAGGGAATGTTCTAGTTCTTGATTTGTTAAGTGACTACATGAGTGTTTAATAGTTATGCATTAAACTATTCACGTAGGTTTATGACCTTACCTGTGTGATTGTTATATTGCATCCTAGAAGAAGAAAAATTATAAAGAAAATGTAGCTGATTTCTAGTGTTTAACATTGTATCTTGGACAAATCTTATTTTGAGGCTGTTTATATATTTTTAATCCCATTTTCCTAGATTCCTCTAGGTTCATGCTTCCTAACAGGCAGAGGAATCTCTTTCTTTTCTCAAGAGAGTCTGCAGTCCACTTCCTAGGAAATGCCACAATATCGGTAATTAAATCATTTCAGAGCGACATATAGAAAGCTGTATGATCAGCTATCAAAATGTCATCCCACTACTGCAGGGGTGAGCAAGGCTCTCCCTTTTTCCAGTGTCATCTGGTTTTTATTTGTAGATTGATATAAAGCTGAGCTCCAATCCTGGGCTCATAGGATTGAATTTATTAACTGCCAAATGGAGATGAAATTTACCTTTCAAGGCTGGTTTGAGAATAAAATAAGGTAATAAATGGTGACTACTATGGCCTTTAATGAAGCAAGACAAATGATAGCATAAATGATTGCTCTAGAATGGAATAATAATGCTCTTTTTTTGCATAAGTTCAAGGGAAAATGATTTTTAAAAATGGGTTTGATGTAATTGTTGTTTCATTTCATTGACTGATTTTTTTTTTTTTTTTTAACACTGTATCCTATCATTTCTTTTCCATCTATCTCAGGACATTTGTTTACTCATTACTCACTAGAGGGAGGCCTTTCCCAGTTGCGTTCCTTGTCAGAGGGTTTGTCTTCTGCACGGGAAATGGACTTCTCCAGGGCTACTACCTGATTTACTGTGCTGAATACCCCTCTGAGTGGTACACAGACGGACGGTTTCGCCTGGGTAAGTAAATCTGGCCACTTATGCACACCCAGCCTAAATCCCCACCACCTTCCCCCGCCCTACTGCAGTAATCCCCCATGGAATTCCATTCTCCTCTTCTCTCCCTGCTACCCTCCTCTTTTTTCTATAAAGCAGCCAGAGAGCCCTTTGAAAAACATGTCACTCCCCACCCTTTGAAAAACATGTCACTCCCCACCTCCAGGATGTTTCTACTACTCTCAGGATAAAAGACAAATTCCTAATCCCTGCCTATGCCTGTGACACCCAAATGTGGTTGGTCTTTCCCCATTTCCTGACCCCATTTCTTGCCTCCATCCAATTACTATGTTGTAGCCTCTGTGGCCTTCCTGCTGGGGCCTGAAATGGTCAAGCTGGTCCTGCCCCAGAGCTCTTATACAGACCATTCCCTCTATATGGAATATTCTCTCCACATACACTGGTGGAGGTTGGTCCCTGACTTTATTTAGGTGTCTAACAGATTGTACCTCTTCAAAGGGACTTTTCCTGACCATTTTATCTAAAATAGTAGAAAACACTGTTGAGGTTTTTTTCATTATCTGCAAGAGGAGCTCAAGTCTAGAAGGTTCAATTGTTTGTGTATTGTTTTGCCTTAAACCCCAATGCAGGGATTACCCTTAATTCCTCTCTTTACATCACACATCAAATTCTATCTATCAGTCAGCTTAGTCAGGCTGCGTGGAGCTCCATAAGATGTACCCACGAGGCTCCCTTCCTCCCTCACTGCTCCGACTTCATCCTAGTCTGAGCCGTGATGACCTCTTGCTGGGACCGCACTGGGGACCTTCCAACCAAGTTTCTTGCTGCCATGGGGCCTGGCCTTCAGTAGTAGACCCTTGTGCACACAGCCTTAAGATGGAACCTTTGAAAACACAGCCGACTGGAGGGTTGACACGTGCACACAATGGAGTGTTCAGAGCCACAGAAACAAACAAACAAAACACAACACAACAAAAACAAGGAGGACCTCTGTGTGCTCCCACCAGACGGCTCCAGAATATGTGGTTAAATAAAATAAAGTGTGACCATTGTATATCCAGTATGCTACTTTTCATGTAAAAATGATGGAAGGAAAATGTGTGTGTGTGAAACTGGAAAAAGGAATATTTGATTGAAAAAAACCTAATTTTAAAAAGGTGGCATGGAGGGTCTGGGGGAAAGAGATTGGGATGGCATGTAGAGCTTTTCTTTTAATATGGTTTTGTCCTTTGAATTATGAAACTTAATAATATAGTTTAAAAATATCTAAATGGGGGACCCTGGCTGGCTCAGTTGGTGGAGTGAGTGACTGTTGATCTTGGGGTCAATAGTTTGAGCCCTGGGTGTGGTGTAGAGATTACTTAAATAAATAAAACTAAAAAAAAAAAAAAAATCTAACTGGAAGAAAGTTTCCTAAAATGGAGAAAAAAACAATAAATGAACGTAATTATATGTTGAGCTGGTAATATAACCGGAAAATGGTTTATGTCAGTTTACAAGAAATAAGGAGACTGAAGAAGTAAGTTGAATGCCACCATCAAGAAGTGAGCCAGTCTTATCTAGAAAAGGATGTATTCTGAGGTACAACTGTCTGGTGTCTTTTTAAGAAGCCAGTGACCTGAAAAAATTTTTAAAAAGATAAGGGTTAGGGCACCTGGGCAACTTAGTCGGTTGAGCATCTGACTCTTGGTTTTGGCTTAGGTCATGATCCCATGATCCATGAGATGGAGCCCAGAGTTGGGCTCTGCACTCATTGGGGAGTGCAGAGCATTGAACATTCTTTCCCTCTGCCCTCCACCTGTGTGTGTATGTGCACCTCTCTCTCTCTTTAAAGTAAATAAAAAAATTTTTTTTTTTTTTTTTTTTTTCTAAGAGTACGGGTCTGGGCAAGATTAAAATGGCCTTAAAGGACATAATGTCTAGATACCAGGATGGTCCTATACTGGACTTTGGTTTTCAGAAACCACCTGTAAGAAGCATTTTGGGTCTATCTGGGGAAACTGAAATATGACCTAGATATTATGTAAGATGAAAATCTGGAAGGATATACATTAAGGTGTTTAATGGTTATAATTTCTGGGTGGTGGGAATAAGGTGTCTGGGTTTTCTTATTTTTGCTCATTCACATTTAGTATCCCACATAACATATTTACTTCTTTTGTAGCAATAACAAATGGGAATCACTTCCTATTTTGTCCTTGCTCCAAACCTGCCAGTGGCTTTATCTCGTTTGTAACAATCCAAACTCCTCACCAAAGCCTGTAATGCTTAGTGTATGTTTTTTTAGTTAGCATTCTGTCCACATTTTCCCACTTTTCCCTCTATCTTAAAGTTTCAACTGCACCAGCCTTCCTTCTGTTTTTTAGACATAATGAAACTATTCTAGCCTCAGGGCCTTTGCACCTGCTAATTCCTATGCCAGATTGTTCTCCCTCAGATCTGTGCATTCTTATTATTCCAATCACAGGACAAAATGCCAAATTTTCAGAAAAGTTTTCCCCATTCACCTCATCTAAGTTGGAGATACCTTCCCTCCACCCCAAGTTCACTTTCTATCTCATGATCCTATGATTTTCTGCTTTGCAGTGACAGTATGTGATTTAAAATGTTTTAATTAGGGACGCCTGGGTGGCTCAGTTGGTTGGACGACTGCCTTCAGCTCAGGTCATGATCCCGGGCGGCCGGGATCGAGTCCCACGTCGGGCTCCCAGCTCCATGGGGAGTCTGCTTCTCCCTCTGACCTTCTCCTCCTCGCTTATGCTCTCTCTCACTGTCTCTCTCTCAAATAAATAAATAAAATCTTTAAAAAAAAAAAAAAATGTTTTAATTATTTGAATTCACTTCTGTCTTCTTATGCTAAAATATAAGCTTTATGAAAACAGACACCTTGACTGTTTTCTCATGACTGTATCCTTGGTGTTTAGGACAACTCTTTGTATTGTAAGCTCTCAATTGATATTAGTTGAATGAATAAATGAGTGAATGAGTGAACAAATGAGGGAGACTTGTACGGCACTTGTGAAATAGATATTATTCAAATTTACATTTTACAGATGAGAAAACGGAGGCTGAGAGAGGGTCAGTGGCTTACCCAAGGACACATAGACACAGAGTCTAGGGTTTCTGCATTGTCTGCTACTGTGCATGCTATCTCCCCTCCTTCTTTCAACCTCCTGCCATTGGTGTCTCTCCCCAGTTTCCCTTTCTTCTAGGCCAATAATTAAATTATTATTGAAGTATAGTTGACATACAATGTTATAGTCCTTTCAGATGCATAACGTAGTAATTATGCAATTCTATGCATTCTTCAGTGCTCACCAAGATCAGTGCAGTCATCACCCATCACCATACAATGGCCAATGATCTTTTGACTAGACAAGACTGCAAATCATTGTTTCCTGTCATAGCAAAGGAGGTGAGAGTAGATCTGTTTTTAATTAAAGTGTTCTTGCTTTTCGCCTCTTGTATTTTGATAGCACAAATACACATTGTTGAGAGGTAAAGTTGGGCATCTATGTGGAACAGTGAGTGTTTCTGGGTTGTCATGGTGCCCACTGTGGTGCAAGACCTCACATCCCTGATCCTGGCTCTCCTCACCTCAGACCAGGGCTTCTTTCTGAGCTCATGAATGGGCAACAAGACTGTGGGTGTGACCTGACAGTGGTTGAAACCAGTTTGCTAGGTGCCAAGCTCCCCAGTCTGACTTATGTTAAGTTCCATGGGAATGGGTGTATCAATCCAGAATGCTCTCAGCAGTGAATCACAGGAAACTAGTGCATTTGACTGAACATTCTTAGAATTTGAAATGAATGCCCTTCTCCTTTATTAAACAAAACAAAACAAACTTAGCTTGTGAGAAAAACACCAAAACCAGGATACATTTAAAAATTCATTTTTTAAAATAAATTATATGTAATAAAATAAATAATATATAAAATTTACATATAATAAATTTTATATAATTTACATATAACTTCATATAATTTATATATAAATACAATTTATATAAAATAAAATTAAAAATTATATTTATTTGAGAGAGAAAGTGTGTGACAGCAAGAGCACAAGGAGGGGGAGCTGCAGAGAGAGAGGGAGAAGCAGGCTCCCCGCTGAGCAGGGAGCCCAGTGCAGGATCAATCCCAGGACCCTGAGATCATGACCTGAGCCAAAGGCAGACGCTTAACTTGACTGAGCCACCCAGGCATCCCACCAGGATACATTTGTAACTTCTTCCCTCTGTTTTCTTTGCTAAGGTGTCTTCTTATTTATTTTGGGAATGGGAGTCAACATTCATAGTGACTATATATTGCGCCAGCTCAGGAAGCCCGGAGAAGTCATCTATAGGATTCCACAAGGTAACACCTCCCCTACCCTCCAGATTTCCACTCCGCCTTGAGAGCCTGTCCCAGGGATTGTGCTATGAGCAGCAACTATAGAGGGGGCAGTGAGGGCCCAAATGACACAATATATCCCAATTTGCCTCTGCGTTCTCCTTTACCTCCCCTTCTACCCCACAGCATTTTGGCGTTTTTGGATCTAAACCTGGAAGTTCAGGTAGGGGCACCCTTGGGAAGGTGCAATGTCATAATACTTTGCGGGTGGGGGACAGCGAAGCTTGGGGTAAGGGGGGAATAGGCTGCCACCTCGTCAGAGTAGGTAAAATAACCATGTACCGTATTAGGCTTCTCCAGAGAAGCAGAGCCAACAGGATATAGGTAAAGATACAGTGATAGATACATAAAGAGATTTATTCTGAGGAACTGGCTCGCATGATTATGGAAGCTGGGAAATCCCATGATCTGTTACCTGCAAGTTGGAGACCCAGGAGAGTAGATGGTGTGAGTTCTAGTCCATGCACAGGAGAAGACTGATGACCTAGGCTAAAAACGGTCAGGCAGAGAGAGTGAATTCTCCCTTACTTGGCATTTTTGTTCTATTCAGGCCTTCAGTGGGTTGGATAAGGTCCATCCACATTGGGGAGGGCAAGCTGCTTTAGTCAGTGTGTAGATTCAAATGTTAATCTCATCCAGGAACAACCTCACAGACATAACCCAAAATAATTTTTTTTAAATATATATTTTTAAAATATTTATTTTTTTAATTTCTTTTCAGGGTTCCAGAATTCATTGTTTATGCACTGAAATAATGTTTAATCAAATATCTAGGCATACTGTAGCCCAGTCAGGTTAGCACAGAAATTTAAGCATCATATGTACACACAGTGTTGGTCCTTCATGAGTCAGCCAATAAAGCTGAATTGTATATGACTTGTCTTCTCCAGCTGACTCAGACTTAATCTAGTCAGTAGTCAGGGGTAGTGCTGTACTGTATATACTTCCTGCCTCTTGTATTTTCTTAGTGGCATGATGAGCCAAAATTACTTAACCAAAAATTAAGATGGGAGGTCTTGCAAGTACAAATGCATTCTCAGATATGAAGTCACGGAATATTTGAAATCTCAACTGTTTCCAAGAAACCAGGGTGTGAAGTTGACAAACGTAAGCAGGTGAGAGTGATTAGTCCAAGTAATCTGTCGCTATTTTAGGTGCTATTTGTGTCGGTTGATAGCTCCCACCCTCTTTGCTGTAAATGGAACCTCTTATTTACTTTAAAATTTTTCCTAAATTACAATGTGGTATTGATATTCATTTATTAATAAAATAATGACAGAGCTACCATGAATTCAGTAACACATTTAAATGAATTTAAGCATTGCTGACATCCCCACGGTGTCTATATCAAACAAAAATGGAGCCATATATTGAGATATCCCATTTGCAATTTATAGACCCTCTGTAGGAGGTCAGTGGTTTCTCCCAGGGTCTGGGAAATCACCAGTCTGGAATTGTTCATGCAGTGTCATCTTTAAGGAAGATAACCAGAAGGAGCTTTGGGATTTTAAATATTCACTCAAAAACTAGCCAGAGAAAAGCACAGAATTCTCTTAAAAGGTAGATTGTCAAAGTTGGTTTCTAACTATTAAGGTATGTTACAGAATGATTTAAAAACAAAATATTTTTTATATAAATATGGAAAGAAAAAAATCAGTTTTAGTTTACTGTGGGACAGAAAGTGGATACATTTACTATCATTGGAAATGTATTGATTTCTATTTACAGGTCTGATGTCAGACATATATGGTTGGATAGAAAAGTAAACCTTGAACATCAGCAGAAGCAGACCTCACCATTTCCCCATGGGGGGCAAAACCCCTGCAGCTCCCACTCACTTCTTTCAACTTGAACAGTGTACATACACTCCCTTGTGGGTGGGGATGTGCAAATGCCATAGGAAACTCTCATTACTTCTGGAATCAGCTCAGGTTGTCACATAACATGTTGTTCATTTTGTCTGAGTGCCCACGCGAAATACGTTGTACAGGTGTCCAGGGGAAAAGTGAGGGGGGAAAGGTGGCTTGGAAACATTATTTAATGGGACAAAACAAAACCAGACCTCCTGCTCTTCATCATTGTCCAGCCCCGAGCCAGGGGTGCAGCAGTCGCTAGAGATTGGCTGGAGCCCATCAAGCAGTTGGCGACACGATTCCAGGAAGTTCTGAGGGCAACAGGCTATTGTCACTGTGTTTACCCTTCTCTCCAAGAGGATTGCACCAGACTGCGATGACCATAAGGAAGTCTCCAGCCCCACATTTGTCATAACTGCCTTTATGTGTTTTGGAACAAAGCAGTGGGGTTTGAATGTGGCCGTGATCCAGTTCTGATGATGGACTTTTCATTCTGCGCGTGCAGGTGGCTTGTTTACGTATGTTTCTGGAGCCAATTTCCTCGGTGAGATCACTGAATGGATCGGCTATGCCCTGGCCAGTTGGTCCCTCCCAGCACTTGGATTTGCGTTTTTCTCACTTTGTTTCCTGGGGCTGCGAGCTTTTCACCATCACAGGTAAATTTCTTGATCAGTCAAGTCCGGATTGGTAAACTCTGATTTTCTGGGCTTTCACTGAGTTTGGATTTCAGCTGGGTGACAGTACCGTAAACGCTTTTTTTTTTTTTTTTTTAAATGAGTAAAATGAAACCCGTGTAGGGAGAGGCACACCCTCAGTGACTTGGGAAGCCTCCTACTACCTTATGGAAGAAGGTTTCCTGGCAAGGAAATTATGAGTTAGTTGACCCGGGCTCTGTGCACTCCTAGCAGGGTCATCGGCAATGGGCTCTAAGTAAGGGTTGAGAGGTCCATGAAGTATCTCCCATTTCCATGCTTCAGTTCAAGTGACCTCTGCCGCATTTCTCAATGTGCGTCCCATGGGCAGCACAGCCCACAGCTTCACAGAAAATCCTGCCACTATATAGTACCACCAGGGGAAAGGCTAGCCCCTGGTCTAGTGTGGCTCCTATGTTTAATTCTGGCTTTGGTGCTAATAGTTCAGGTAATCACAGAGCCCTGCAAACGCCAGGATTAATCTCTCCCAGAATCTGTGTAACACCAGTGCTTACTCTGGCACTCCCCTTTATCCGCAACACCTACCCTCCATAAATCCAGCCAAGGTCATAGCTGCTTCCTTGGAAGTTACGATAAGTGAAAGCTTATGTGGTGTGATTTCAGGACTATCCCCTCATCTGGAGAATGCCAGGAATTGTAGGGGCTTAGAACCCTTTCTCTATAGGTCTAGGCTAAAGACTTACTAACTTCTACCTCCCCGCCAGACCCTGTACCTGGGATGGGCTGGGGACAAAGGCATTAACTAAAAGCATCACTGCAAGGGGAAGAATAATGTACTAAGCTGTTATCAGGCTTCACACCTGAACTTCAGATCCTTTCTGGCATTCAGATCCCAAATGGCATTTGTGGCTAGAGAGACAAAGAGAGGGAGGGATATAGCTCAATGGGGAGCAGCCTTGGAACCAGGACCTAGGGGACCCTTTAAGCTCCTGCATGGGTGTTTTAGTCAGGCTAATTTTGTAGTTTTGAAGGTTAAACCAAGAATCTTTTCCTCAGAGTGGACTTTAGGTGGATGTGTTGGAAATGAATCAAACAGTAGCTGTCCTCAGAAAGAGCATCTCCAGCCTGTCAGACTGTCCACATTCTCCCTTGAGGCAGAATCTGTTGCCCACCAGAAGCAGAGGGGAAGAGGGCAGAGTGCCAACATCCAGCAGTTGGAGGGGTCCTGGGCAGTGGTCTCAGGTGAGGCCAGTCAGGGGAGGGACAGCAGTTCCACCAGAGGTTTCCAGCTGGTGCAACAGCAAAATCCAAACCATGGCCCTGTCCTGTGAGATGAGACAGCTCCAGAAGGAAAGCCAGGCACCTTTCCTGTAGGGCTAACTGGCCTTTGTGAGAAGAAACTCCTTAGCCCTTTCTGAGCATAGCACGAGAAACCAGCCACCTCTTGTCACATATTATTACTGTTTGTCCCCGGTTCACATCAAGGTACCTTAATAGAGTGCATCATCGTGATTATCACTGGAGAACCATCAGCTTCAACTAGCTAGGACAGCCTGGTCACTCAAGGAGAAAGCCATTTCACAATGTGTATTAATCTTCCAGGCCTGCCAAAGCAGATGACTGCAAACCAAGTGGCTTAAAACAGTAGAAATTTATTCTCTCAAGTTCTGGAGGCAGAAGCCTGAAATCCAAGTGTTTGCAGGGCCATGTTCTCTCTGAAGGTTCTAGGCAAGGATCTTTCATTGCCTCTTCTTGGCTTTTGGTTGGGCCCCAATCTGAGATTCCATGGTCTACAGCTCCATCGCCATTCTCTGCCTCCATGTCCACATGGCCTCCTCCCCTTCCTGTCTCTGTCTTGGTGTCTCTTGTTCCCTTCAGTCATACTGGATTAAGGGCCTTTCCTATTCTAGTATGCCCTTGTTTTACCTACTAAATCGTATCTGTCATGACCTTATTTCCAGGTAAGTCTTCCAGGTTAAGACTTCAAGCATATATTCTGGGGGGACACAATTCAACCCAGAATATGAGGTAACATTTTCTTGGCATTTCCAAGGCTTTGGGAGGGGATAATTTCCTGGGAAATTGCCAGTTCTCTAGGATTAATCTTGCCCATGATCTTTGGGGGCTCTGGTTCCTTATTTCCCAACTGAATCCACTGAGTAGTTCCTTCTGGCTTTTCCCTTTTTTTAGTGTAGTAAAATACACATAACATAAAATTTACCATTTTGGCTATTTTCAGTGGTCCATTTAGTGGCATCAGGTACATCCATAACGTTGCGCAATCATCACCACTGTCCTCTGGCAGTTACTTTTATTTCCCAACCCAAGAAGTTTCAACATTTATGGGAGGAGATGCAGGAGGGAGAAGGGAAATGGACAGATGGTCATCTGCAAGAGTCAGGCCCTGAGTAACTGTAGGTTGGTTTGGAACAAGGATCTCAGACCCAGCAAACCTCAATGGTTGACCATTGCTTATTATAATTGTCCTTTTCTTGTCTTTTAGGTTCTACCTCAAGATGTTTGAGGACTATCCCAAATCTCGGAAGGCCCTCATTCCATTTATCTTCTAAAGAAACCAGATAAAAAAGAAACTAAAAGCTCCCACATGACTGTTGAACACCATCAAGCTGCTAGGCTTTAACTTTGAAAGTTCCAGTGTGTATATAAACCAGGAGGCTCTTGTGTTCTGACAGCCGGCCTGGGGATTCTGTGGGGTGGCTATTCTGTGTGTCTCTGTGTGTCTTCCCAGGGTCTCTCTCCTGATCTCCTGTTGAAGCTTTGACAAGGCTCTTCTCTGCATGGAGACATCTATCTGTTCTTTATCCAGTCCTCCTAGAAAGTGCGAAACTTCCCCATGTCTTTCCTTCTTTGGGTGATCTAAGTATGTGTGGCTCTCTGTCAATGTAAGACAGCCCTGTAGCCAGGAAAGTTTTCAGTTGAGGGCAGTGCTTGTAGAATTTATTAAAGGTACACATTTTACACCCATACAAATGAGCAATATTGAAATTCTGGAGCTGCATGAACCCTGAGCCAATCTCCCAAATGAAAACCCAGTCATACTTTCCTCTCCCTCAGTTAATTATGAAAGATGTGAAGTGATGATGTGGGCTTTTAATAGAGGAGCCCTCTCTTCATATGGCCAAAGGTGTGAGGAGGCATTGACCCCATTTCAAATTTGTGCGTGGTCTCGCACCTTTGTCCTCCTGAAGTTTCCCGGATTCCTGTCAGAGATATCTCAGAAAACTGGTGTGGGTTCGTTGAATGTCAGGTTTTCTTGACCACAGAGGGAGAGACATGACTCTGGTTGGCTAGTGAGAGAGTGAAAAAGCCTTTTACAGTAGACACTGCCCATTCCAATATTCTCAGAAACCTGTGGAAATACCCAAATGATGAGAGAGTGTCAAAAAAGGGAAATGACTGAGCAAGATCATACGTTATTGCTTGCCTGGATAGGACATTTGCAGTGACATGGAAGCATTCCAGAAGTGCTTGGCAACTTTCCTGCAATTTCTTCACGGCAGTCTTTGGGATCTGCTGAGAAATGCATTTCCTAGCGGCAGCCTGAACATGGGTCCTCCAAGTCCCCGAGGGCACAGGCAGGGCAGAAAACATCTTTTGTTTGGCTCAGACAAGGATTCACACACAGTTTGACTTTCTCTGTTTTTTGGTTTTTTTTTTTAAACCTTGGAAGTTTCCAAAATTTCAAAGTTAGATCTCTGCATTCCAGTTTCCCTTAGAGCATTGGAGGCTGTGGTCCCATGGAACCCCCTAAGAATGTGGACTGATCAGCTAGTATGTATTAGAATTTGCAACCTTTGTGGACGGGTCACCCTAGAGTGGGTGCTCAGATGCTGGGCTCTCTGAGGGAGGGGCTGAAGACTCAGAATGAGAATGTAGGAAACTATTTGTCCTCTAGGATCTAGGTGTGTGGCAAGCGTCGGAAATGTTTAGCAAGCCCTTTTGGGAAAGGAGCACCAATTTGATCAGGTGAGGTACTAAGTACAGAAATTCACTGTACAAGAAACAAGACGTTTGAAAGGTCTGAGGATGATGTATGTTACTGAAAAATACAAATTGTAGTCATGTAAATGTTTTCTGTTTTCTTTTTATTAAATGCCTCTCAAATCATGGATGCTAAGTAATTTTGTTTGAATTGAAAAATTCCTGGGCTCATGAAGATTTTTATAAGGTGTTGAGCTGTGGGTTTTTCGTTGTTGTTATTTTTTTTTAAAGAATTTTTAAAAAGATTTTATTTATTTATTTGACAGAGAGAGAGAGAGACCACAATTAGGCAGAGAGGCAGGCAGAGAGAAGGGCAGTGAGAAGCAGGCTCCCCGCTGCATAGAGAGCCCGATATGGGCCTCACCTCAATCCCAGAACCTTGAGATCATGACCTGAGCCAAAGGCAGAGGCTTAAACCACTGAGCCACCCAGGTGCCCTGTTGTTGTTATTGTTTGCCTCTCTTTCTTCCTTCCTCGCCCTCCCTCCCTCTCTCCCTCCCTTCCTCTCTTTCTTTCTTTCTTTAAAAGTATTGCTTCTTTTTTGCTCTCTGTCTTCATTTTGTCAACTTGAAATTAGGAGCTCTGAGTTGAAAACAAAAGAGAAATATAACTTATATGATTTCTCAACCATAGCTCAGAAGTGGAAGCAGGTGCAGGCAAGGTGCTGGAGAATGTGCTAAGGCCAGATGCTACCCGTAACGTTTAGGAATACACAGACGGTGAGATATTCTCGGTGACATAAATCTTAAGGTATAGCTTGGGCTCAGTGAAATAAAAGTCTTTCAGTTCTCTCCATGACATTGAAAATTGGCTTTATTAAAACCTTTATCTTATTACCATATAAAATATCTGGGCCAGTCCTTGAAATGTAATAAGTGTTCAATGAATGGCAGCTCCTTTTTGACCAGGAGGTGCAATCTTGGGACAAAACTGCGGCCATTCAGCAACTGCATTTTTTTTTTTTATTTGCTACAAGAGGGCACTCTCTAGAATTTATAGGCCAACCCTGATTTAATATGGTAATATACATATTTGGAAATTGAAAAAACCCTATTGTCATTTCAGATTAACATGATCATAATCTTGGGTGCCTGGGTGGCTCAGTTGGCTAAGCTACTGCCTTTGGCTTAGGTCATGATCCCGGAGTCAGGATCGAGTCCTGCATGGGGCTCCCAGCTCCATGGGGAGTCTGCTTCTCCCTCTGAACTTCTACCCTCTCATGCTCTCTCTCACTCTCTCTTTCTCTCAAATAAATAAATAAATAAAATCTTAAAAAAATGATCATAATCCTTCCTTTTTAAAAATTTATTTATGTTTTAGTAATCTCTATATCCAACGTGGGGCTCAAACTCATGACCACAAGATCAAGCCTGCCAAGCTCTACCAAATAAGCCTGCCAGGTGCCCCTAATGTGGACCTTCTTAATTTAAACATAGTGTGAAATAAACTTCACACAATCTTAACTCTTCCCTTGATAGCTGAGGTATTCTCCATGCTCTAGGACCATAGTTTTCAACCTGTTTTCTCTGTTGGGATTAGAATATGTATGCAGATTGAGTACAGTAAAAGTCTGAAGGGAAGGTGTGCCCATCCCTAAATGTATTTCCTATTTCTCCTAAAACTAGAGTGCTACAAAAAATATGGTAAATTTAGGTTTCTGAGGAGTGGTTTTTGAAACCAGAGACTAAAATATGACAGTGGCATCAAGATAGTCTGTCTCGATCTTGCTAAAATTTTCATGGAGGGAATGTTTTCCTATTGACCTTGTAGAAGATGTTGTAGTGTTCTGTTTATCTTCAGAATGAAAGAGCAGAAGCACATTTAAGACATCCACTAGTTCCACCTTTTCACACAATATATGGAGACACTGAGACCTGCAGTGTTGAAATGCAGTGTTGAAATATAGCTGGTCAGAACAGCCATCCTGCCTTATCCCTTTAAGGATCGGAAGTCTGTCTTTCTTCATAGGGGGCATAGCAGGCTTTTAGAAGAGAGACTCAGCATAACCTATTTGGATGGGTGTAAATTTAAGTCCCGAACACACTCGTTCACTCTAAAGTCATTTATTATTTAAAATATGGAAAATGGTAAGGGGTGGAGGGAGATTGTTGGGTGAGACATGATTCTTGCCTTTTAAAGGCTGCCATGCAGATTTCTGAAGAACTCATGCAGGAGAAAAATAGCCAGAGACTGAGAAATCCACCAAATGTCGTGTCCATTTTGTGGAATTTGTTTCCCCCACTCTGTGGAGAGGATCAGGCTATGCCCTATCATGAACCTATTTCATAAAACAAAGGTGTAGTAGAGATCATGGTGTAGAAGAGATGACATTTGTGCTCAGTCTGGAAAAAGCTTCAAGTCATGAGTTCCTCCTACCCCTCATGCTTATCTCCCTAAGACTCATCATTGGCTGCTCTGTATTTGAGAAGGAAAAAAAAAGAACTCTAATGAGTACTTTGCAGTTAAGTGATTTAGGTGGTCTGACCCTTTCAGGAACAAATAAACAAACCTATGATTTTACTGCCTTGAAGTTTTTCAACAGCTGCCTTGACTTTTTGTGGTAACCTTATGGTAATCTCACCAAGAATCAAAGGATAAAGCTGTTGGCACGTGAAGGAATGGACTCATGAAGAGTCGTTTCCTTTCTTGCCTGGCCTTTGATTCTCTAATAGACTGTGGGCTGAGGTCCAGGCATGGCAAATAAGCTAGGGTAACAATAAATGTTAAGCAAAACCTTCTAGAAAAGGCTGTTGATTGTTTTATAGCATCTATACTATCCCATGATAAAAGAAAGAGGCATGGTGCCAGATGGTAATGTGGGTGCTTGGATGATTTAATAGCCATTGAGTGGATTTAATTTCTGAGTAAGAGATTTGCTCATTCTCTCTGTAAGTCCCTTAAGCTGCGATCTTAAAAGTTTCCGTGTTATCTTATCGTGTCTCATTTCTTCCCACCAACCACAGTTTGGGATTTGGATGAGTGAAATACATTGTTGAAGAAGGTTAAATATGTACTAACCTGTATTCATTCCTTTTGTCCTAACCTTCATGGCTTCAGAGTTTGGCTTTGCTCAGGGTAGGTAGAGGCTAGGTGAGGAATATCCAAGACCCTCTCCCACATGGCAGGCTGGCTGGGAGCTGGAGGAGAGCGGAGAGAGGAAGCAGAGGAGGGTGGGGAGTTATGCAGGAGGAGAGGGGTGGAGGCAGGGGAAGGTTGGCAATGAAGTCAGGGAAAGGGCCTTGGGAGAGGGGGGGCCTCTCCTGACAGAATGAGCTTCTTTCCCTTCCCTTGCATCTGCATAAGTCTGATGCCTTCCTTATCCTCCCAGGGAAAGAATCCCTCTGGGAGAGAGAGTAAGCTCTTCTTAGAGCTCCTTTTTCACAAGGAAAGATGCTGAGTTTCTTTAAACACAAGCCATATGGTTGTGCCTCACAATAAAGGATTTAATTGTATTTCTTTCCACTCACCTCATAAAGATGGTTTTATGTCTGTACAGCAGTGACACTTGTGAGAAAGAGGTGAAGGAATTGTTCTGAGAAATGTGTGACTGCATCCAAAGTCAGTGAGGCCAGAGGGGAGACCAGAGCCTCCAGAGGAGTGAGCACCCACAGGCTTTGCCCTTTTCATGGTCTTTGTTTTCCTCGATTCCAGAGGTCCCAAAGAAAAGGATCCTTCCTTAGAAGGATGCTTTTTTTTCAGCATTGACTAGAAGACAAATGTCATAAAATCAATTAAATTTCATTAATTGATTCATTAATGCATTTAATTATTAATGTAAGATTCTGATGCTATGTATAGAATCTGGATACATATATACATATATATATATGTATATATATATGCTATATATAAATCTTAATATAAACTCTGTTAAGTTGGGCACCTGGGTGGCTCAGTTGGTTAAGCAACTGCCTTCAGCTCAGGTCATGATCCTGGAGTCCTGAGATTGAGTCCCTCATCAGGCTCCCTGTTTGGCAG